TTTTTTTTTTTTTTTTTTTTTTTTTAGTGCAATGTCCTCGGGAATAATCTTAAAGACTTGGTGGATAAATATCAACACTATGAAGATGCCTCATGTGGACTTCTTTCTGGGCTCCAGGCCTGTGAGGTCACAGCAAGCAAACACTTATCTGAACCTATTGCTGTGGACCCTAAAAATCTGCAAAGGCAATTAGAAGAGACCAAGGTAAGAGAGAGAGCCAGAAAGAAAGAGAAAAGTGAGAGATCAACCCTTCTGTCGTCTTACTGAAAGCCATCCGTCTCCCCACACTTGTGTGATGGTTTCACGTAGGAAAGGGGAATGAAGTATGGGAAAAGTACTTGTCTTTCTAAAGGGAGGTGCAACTCTAATTCACCATCCAGTTCAGTTCTCTTTCTAATAAGATTGTTTTTTCCACTGTTGTTTAACTGTTGGATGTTGCTGTTATGGCTGACATCCCACTGCTCCCTCCTCCCTAAAGAAAAACCACTATTGCCCTGGCCACTTACTTATCTTTACACTTCTTTATTTTGTTCATTGCAAGTAAGTTCCATGAAGGTAGGTGTGTTTTCCTCTGTTTTGCTCGCTGCTACCTCCCCAGCACCTAGAAGAGTACATGGCCCAAAGTGGGTACTCAGTAAATACTTGTTCAAGAATGAACAGGTGAAAAGGAAGAATGGATGTCACTGTCCCATCTGGGGTCTGAGGGCCAGGATTGGTGTTCCTATTGAGTATCCCTGTAATTCTTAGAGACATAAACTTCAGTTATTACCTAGCACAGTTCTCAAAAAGTCTACCCACTCTTCAAAAAATGCAGGCTTGGTGTCAGACTGAATAATTGAAGTCTCGGAATACCCACAATGGAAGAGTGGGTATTAATCTTCAATTTAATGCGTATATTATTTATTTTTCAAAAAAAATTAAGTTTATTTATTTATTTTGAGAAAGAGAAAGAGTGCACAAACAAGGGAGGGAGAGAGAGAGAATCCCAAACAGGCTTCTTGCTGTCAGCACAGAGCCCAAAATGGGACTTGAACTCACGAACTGGGAGATCATGACCTGGGCTGACATCAAGAGCTGGAGGCTCAACCGACTGAGCACTTGTGCAACCGAAAGCCTATTTTAAAATCTTAATGTAGTGAGATAACTTTTGAAGTGTTTTACTCCTGTTCCATGTGACTGATAATTTTGAATTTGAAAGTTTCATTTCATAAATCTGTTCTGTCTTTTCTTTTAGCAGGTGGGTAGCAGTCATTTATTGCTGCTGTAGCTAGAAAGTAAACACAGTATTGCCCGTTAAACAACTACAGTTCAGAGTTTAGTTGCCTCTGTTAGTTACAGAATCAAAAAATCATTATTATTGTGCTATTACAAGGAAAACAGGTACTGTAACGTTAGTTACTGCCTGAGACTGGCAGCTTCTGCCTGGAGGTCATACCAGAGTGCAATGTGGCAGGTTAAGGCCAAGGCAGAGAGATGGGGATGGGAAGCACGGGATGAAAGGAGGGAGGTGAGGTGCCCGGAGGAGAGGAGAGTGGAGGGCGCTGCTTCTGTCTTTACTCAGGGTCACATTAGGCACCCGGGAGAGGTCCAGTTCCAGGTCAGAATCCCTGCAGTGGTGCTGCCTCCCAGGGGTTGTTTCCTTCCTTTAGATGTGCATTATCAGTCCTGGACCTCTTTGCTTTTACCCTTTCTTTTTTTCTTTCCCACAAGCACTGGAACAAATCTGCCTTAATTAAGTTTTCAGGTCACACTTGATTACGTGTCAAAGGACAGTATGGCTCAGTGGGTTGAGCATCTGACTTCAACTTACATCATGATCTCAGAGTTCATGAGGTCAAGTCCCACATTGGGCTCTGTGCTGACAGCTCAGAGCCTGGAACCTGCTTCGGATTCTGTGTCTCCCTCTTTCTGCCCCTCCCCCGCTCATGCTCTCTCAAAATGAAATAAAACATTAAAAAAAAGTTAGGTGCTTTTAGTATAGGAAAGTATATAAAATACAACACATTTCAAGTTAGGTCTCTATCAGGAAACTGATTACATACTATATGAAAGTAATTTTTTTATAACTGGAGCAAAAAGAGAAAGAAAAACCCCAAAGAGAGCTATGGCTTTTAAGTTAAACAGATACATGGATTAATTCTAAAACAGGAAAACTTACTTGGTATGTGCTGTGGAAAGAAGATTCTTTCAGTCACAAGGCAGCCAAAGAAATAGTAAAGAGGAGAGCAATGTCTCAAAGGATGATAAATTCTAATTAAGCCACAGCATAATTTAAAAAATTAAATGTGCAATTGAAGTTGTTCTTGGCATGCGTTCATATTTTCCTCACAGATGATCTCAGCATGTAGCAAGGATAAATTTTTAAGAGGGTTGGGTAGTCTCCATTTCTTTCATTTTTATTAACATGTAAAATTATTTTTCTTTAACAGTAATATAAACACATAAGACTACCACATTTTGTTTTGTCTACATTTGCAATGCTAACATATTCTATTGGGCAGATAATGTGATTTGGGGGTACCCAAGTCGGTTCATGTGAAATAATTCTCCCAATAGCACATTGTCATTATCATTATTATTCAAATGACTGTTAGCTGAGTTGTCTGCACTCTGATACCACTGAGCTATAATGACCTCCTCAGGATCGGCTTCCAGGAAAATCCATGGACCAAACAAAATTTTTGTCCCATCTGAGGCACAGAAAGACAGGATTTGGGGACCAGCTGAGAGGCCTGGGTTTGGGAGCAGGTGTGGAGCTAGGTCATGCTGCCTGGCAGTATCCACCCTGTAGCCTTGCCTTGATCTCAGGGATAGTGTCAAGTCAGGAATCTTCTATGAGTTGGACAAGTGCCCTTTACAGATTTCACGCTTCTCTGGTCCAGGCAAGGGGCCCAAGGTCATAATCTTTCAGTATTTCCGGTCATAGATGCTCTTTCATGTTTTAATGTCATTGAGATCCATTAAAAACTACGTATGGTACCCTTTTGACTATTTTAATTTGCAGTTTTATCCTAAAGTAGTATTGTAAACCACTGCTATCACCAAATTATAACCCAATACATGTTGGGAATTAAAAACTCTTGACTCTCTTAAACATAATTATGCAGAGAAAAGACGTGGGATGTTTTGAAAAGGAGAGGGGAAGAAAAAAAATGCTTCTTTTGTAATCCATTTCTAAGTTTTAGGATGTTTAGTAGGGCCATCTTTGGTATTGGATGTTTTTGTAGAACTTTGACATATATTTTTTTGGTAGACATTTATATGCTAGGCGCACTGTAAGATTTTGTGAAGACACAGATGTTGAAACCCTGATTCTCCCCTTGGAGAGTGCACATTCTAAAAAAATCTGTTTTTGGAGGTATCCATAACCTTATTCCATCTCTTAAATAAGCATGCAATGCAAGTAAGCTGTGTCTTAGATTTCAGTCTGGTTCTAGGTAAAGTTCCTGTCTTGAGGAATTTTTTATACCTTTTATAACTAAACATCTGGAAAATTTCCTAGACAGACCCACTCTGACACAGATTCTTTGGCTTCTTGGGACAACGTTAGGATCTGGTATACAGATCACAAATCACATGTTGGCCACAGCTTAGTGGGCCTTTTGACATATATGTACTGCCCATATGTCATTTAAGTTTTCTTGAATATAAAAATTAGTGGAGGAAATAGTTGTGATTGGCTATAGGCATTTGCTTTAGTCTGAAATGAAGGCTGAAACAGAAGAGGATCTTTCTGGATCTTATACTTGATATTTTTATTTATTTTCATTCATTTACTTATTCTAGAAATGTTATATGCCAGACATTGTGTAGGCAGTGATAAAAGGAAGCTGAATGGAATGAATTCCTAGTTTTCAAGGAAGTTACAGTTTAAAAGAAGAGACAAACCCAGTAATATTCACAGGGCATTTATGGGAGAACCTGCAGGGAGTACTTAGAACTAGGGCTGAAGAAAGTTAGGAGGGTTACCAGCTGACTATGAAGGGCCAGGCTCGGGATAACAGGGAGGGGTAGGTGGCATGAGAAGGTTAGTATGTAGAGATGTTAAACATTGGGTCCAGCTTGAGCAAAATAGCTGTGTTGTTGGACATTTCTGGAACAGGAGGTGGAAGATGATATTGAAGATAGAATTAAGGAATAGATTTCATTGGACCTTTTAGAGTATACTCAAGTCTGTCTTTTTTATGAAGGCACTGGGAAGCTACTGAAAGATTTTAAAGAGAGGAGTGATCTAGTCAGTATATATTTTAGATAGAACACATTGGGGAGGCTATATCAGGGAAGAGACTGGAGATAGGGAGCACAGTTAGGATGCTTTTTTGAGTTGAGTGAGAGATTATCCTGCAGTGATCCAGAAATACAGAACAGAGGTCTGATTAAAGAAAAAACAGAAACACCGTTAAGCAGGTAAAATTGTCAGGGCCTGGTGGTGGATTTGCATGTGGAAAGGAGGGTTGAGGGAGAGTCTAGGAGGAGCCTCAGAGTTACTACTTGGATCACCTGATGCAACACCAGGAGAAGTGCAGGTGTAGGGGATGAGATGATGAGTTCAGATTTAGTGTTTTGAGTCTGTGGTGACTGTTTACACCCAGATGGAAATGATCAAGAGCCAGTTGGAAACCTGGGCCCACGGCCAGGGATGAGTTCATCTACAGTTGGACATAGGGGACTTTGAATTTGAAATCCGAGTGTGAGACTGGAAGAGGACCTTGAGTAGCTTCAGTGAAATGAAAGCCAAGCATGGGGCCCATGTGGACAGTGGCCCATTTGGACACAGCTACGTCAGAGGGGTTAGGAATGCCGGGCCAAACTTCTGGAAGACTTATCTGTGGTTCTTGCCTCTACTTCTCTCTTTGTCCTAGCTGTTGAGCTGCATCTGCTTAGAGAAATGGGGGTTTCTCTTCAGATTCAAGGTTATGGTATCCTTTCTAAAGCAGATGACATTAATAACATTTTCCACTTTCTGTCTTCCTGTAACCTTTGGGGACAGAATTGTTCCAGGCCGATTTCCATCTCCTTGATGATAGGTTTTTTGTGTTTGTTTTTTTCCCTTCTCATCACTTACGTAGAACTCTCTGTGATTCCTTATGGCCTTCTTCTCCAGTGTTTTTCTGCTTTCTTCTCTAGCAGTCTCACCATGGGTCTTGGCTTCCAGTGCTTTATGTCTAGCTCCAGCCTGTGTTCAGAGTCAACTCTCTTTCCAACTTCACTGTTTTTTTTTTTCTTTTTTTTTTTAATTCTTTTTTTAATGTTTATTTATTTTGAGAGAGTGTGCAAGTGGGGAAGGGGCAGAGAGATAGGAAGAATCCCAAGCAGGCTCTGCATCATCAGTGCAGAGCCTAATGGAGGGCTTGATCCCACAAACTTCAAGATCAAACTGCTTGATCCTACAAACTGCAAGAAATCAAGAGTCAGATGATTAACTGACTGAGCCACCCCGACACCCTTGGGTTTTTTTTCTATATGAGGGTCCTAAGAGTACTTTGAAGTCATAAATTCCCAGACTCTCCTTTGCTCCCACTTTCGCTTACGAATTCCATTAATTACCTAGGCTCAAAAACTCTGGATATTTCTCTTGTCTTTTCTCTTGTTCCTGCCCCCTCAAGCAGTGATGTCTGATAGAACATTCTGTGATGGTGGACATATTCTGTAATCTCTCCATTGTGGTAACCACTCCTCACCCTTGGCTACTTAGTGCTTGAAATGTGGCTGGTGCATCTGAGAAATTGAATTTTTAATTTTGTTTGATTTCAATTAATTTTAAATTTAAAAAGCCCCATGTAGTTAGTGGCTATCATATGACACAGCACAGGGTTAGATAACCAGTTATCAAGTGCTGTGGTCCCTCCCCTACTCCATCACCAATTCTACCTTCCCAGTCCAGAACGTGGCCTCTCAACTGCTTAAGTTGCCCCTAACTGATGTCTCTCCCTCATTTCTTACCCATTTAGCTTATCCCACACAGTGCTACAAATTTAGCCTTCTCTTAAGACAGTTCTGAGCATGTCAGTCCCTATTCAAAAGCCCTGAATAACTTTCCATTGCTGCAGGGTAAAATGTAAACTCCTTAGCAGACATTTGAAGCCTTCCCGGTCCTGGTACTGTTTATTCACCCATACACATTCTCTAACTGGTTGGGACCCTCCCCTTCTCCTAGGATGTTTCTGTCCCCATCTGTCCCTCTGCAGGGAGCTGTTACCCCTCTCTCCACTGCTGCATGCCTCAATCTACGTTTTCTTCAGGACTTACCTCAGTGTCACCACCATGGAGGTGGATGTCAGTTCCCTTCCCAGTTATTCCTCTTCTCAGTTTCCAGTAGCACTTAACACTTTCTGACTGTAAGATCCTTGTGGGTGAGCTTTGTGTCTGGTTTGTTTGGGTTTTTTTTTTTTTTTTTTTTTTTTTTTGGATCTTCACAAACATAGCAAGATATTTTGGATTTGTTAGATGTTAAGTAACTTTTGTTGAATAAACAGATATAAACATGATTTTGTATTGAAATGGAAATCCCTAATTGTTTCCTTACTTGGAGTCAGAGTCCCAAAGGTTTTTTGTCAGGTTGATTTTTGTTGTTGTTTTCTGGTGGTTAGTGAGGGTATCCTCTGAAGTCTCAAAGTGGGGACTCAAGGGGATCTCAGGCTAGAGGTAGAGGGTTGCAAGATCGAGAATCAGGCCAAGTATCATGAATATATGCTCAAGGGTTAATTTCAAGACTGAATTTGTATTATCCTGACTGTTGATATCTTTGCTAACACCACTTTATAACTGGCCTTACTCTAAGGACTCTGGAGTAAGTTTGTAATGATGAAGAGATTATTCTGTCCAATTTAACTTTATCTTACTGTAAGCAATTTTTTTATACTGGAAATATACCATTTAGTCCTACTGAGTATAACTGAGGCATTCAATCCTCCAGGCTTTGCAAGGGCAGATATCCAATCAGCAGGTGGCTGTAGAGAAACTGAAAAAAACGGCCGAAGTCCTTTTAGATGCCAGAGGATCTTTACTTCCAGCCAAGAATGATATCCAGAAAACACTGGGTGAGTATTGATTTCCTTGTTCACTTTTTCCCGGGGAAATCCTAAATGGAGATATTCTGATATGGAGAACACGTTCACTAGTGTATATTGTGTTGTTTATGGCCTTTCACTGTGAAATGGTGCTTCTCAATCTGGGAAGAGGCATGACTTTTCTCGGCACGTATATTGGGAGTGGGGGTTGTATTCTTTGAGAGGAGTATATTTAAAGTTTAGTTTTATTTTTAGAAAATGTAACAAAAACTCTATGTAATATTCACCACAGGAAGTAGAACTTCAGATTCTTTTGGTTGATGGCATTGGGCAGAGCTAGCCTCTAATCCTGTAGCCAAAAGAGACTCCCTGGAGGGGTCTGTCTTTGTTGAAAGCAGGAGCGTGGGGCTAAGAGATGTGCTTTAAACCAACATTTCCAGCTCTCCATTTTCTAGAAGCCTTTGAGGGGCCTCACAGGGTTCCAGTTGCCCCAGTTCTTTGGTGATACTAGAAACTTGTATCCAGTTATGTTGGTGCTTTTGTGCCCTCTCAGAGTCAACATTTCTTAAGAAAAGAGCTATTGCATGTTATTCTTCGTATCCACTCATAATGTTTAGTTTATAGTAAATGCACAGTGGGGGTATCGATAAATGCTTGCTGTCTTACTGTATGTTTTGCTTTGACTTTGCTGCTTTTCATATTATTTAATGTGTGGTTTCAGGTTATTATATATTTCTACATGTGAAATAGAAAACTTAATGTTTTGTAAGATAATTGGACCTGTGTTTTCACATCAAAGAAAGTGTGAATTAAAATCTGAGCAGAAATTTTAGATGAAGAGAAGGACGAAACTTTGCTTTTCTAAAACTGCTCTGTAGAAGGAAAACTTTTTTTTACATTCTTAAAGATGTCTAAACTTCTTTGATCATGCACCTCTATCAAATAATTTTCAGCATACACCTTCATATATGCATGTGTATTTATAAGTTATGTACACGTTACTGTCTTATCACATTATGTGTATTATAATTATAAAATACAAAAACATTTTAAAGTATAAGGTAAAAAATATGAATGGAAGGTCTAACATTTTGTTCCTATATGCCAATGTACCATTTTGACATCCCACATTTGCAACCAACTGCTTTAAAGACTTGGGCTCAGAGATTTGGAGAAGAAAGAAAGACTTTGTTATATGTGTTGCTGTTATTTGCAGAGGCATTTTGACATTTTTCCCACTGTTAATTGTACATAGTCTCATTTTTATTAGCTTAAAACTCCACATATTACACATTATTTTAAGACTTAAAACTTTTATGTGGTATAAGTTTCTAGGAATATGTGAAAATATATTTAAGATAGAGAGGAATTTCTCTAAGATCTATGTGACCTCTAAGAAAACCAACCACTTAAAAAATTAATATTCTTACAGTAGATTTCATTTTGTCACTTTTTATAAAACAATATTCACTTAGTAAAAGCAAGAATTGACTTCAGTGACAGTATTTGATCACTAAGAAATACGAAAATAGTAACATTCAAGATGTGTTAATTTTATTAAAATAGCTGACTTTGTGTGGGACGTCCCTTAGCAAGGCTAAACAGATTGCCTACGTTACTCTGCTGATGCACAGAATTGCCCATTTGAGAAGCAGTTCACCTGGTAATCAATCACTACCTGCAATTCAGAGTATCTTCTCTTGTGACTTTCAAAGCAGGGCTTGTATTTGAACTTGCTGCTTGTTTTGTCTGCTGATAGAATCTTGGTGCATATTCAGTGCACTCCCCTATGCCCCCCACCCCACTCCGCCTCCACATTCTCAGGGCTTCATTATGTTCTGTGGCAGAAGCATGATTGTCTCTTTAAATTAAATTTAACCTCTCAATTTAGTGAAAATTTGTCAAACTGTTTTCTCATTATATATTAAAACAATCAAAGGGAAATATTGCTTACATAGATTATGTTCCATGGACCAAACACAAAGTGTAAAATATTTCACTTTTAGAGAGGGGTTTCAGGTCAAAGTTTTCTGCTAACTGCACATACAATGTATCCAACTAAAGCATTCAGAAGTAATTAAAATATGTTTCAAATTATTGTACAGTGAGTGATAAATTGATGATTATTCCAGAGAGAGATTAATACATTTAAAATCATTGTTCTTTGAACTTTTTTTGGTCTGCAGTACAGAATGTAGGATGTTAAAATATAGAACTTTATATTTGAGTGAAAAATTGGCTAGAATGGGCTGTTTTTTTAGCATCTTAATTGAAAAGAAAGTTAATCTCATCTGAGATAGGTCAAGCTGTTAACATTTATTTTTCCCTTTTGTCTGCTATCAAACTTTTCAAATACATTCTATTTATATTTTAGAAGCATAACCTCAACCCTCTTTATTTTAAGTGAATTTTCATTATCTGTTTTCTGATTATATTTATTTTCTCATGTTTGGATCTGTCAATTTCTGTGCATTTGAGTACTTTGTTTAGGGTGTGAAGGATGACAAAAGCTTAATTTTGTGTGTGTGTGTGTGTGAGAGAGAGAGAGAGAGAGAGAGAGGGAGAGAGACGGAGAATGCATATGTGTACATGGGAGAGATAACTTTTTATATGTGAGGGTTAATTCTTGATAAATCTTTTTATAGCTGTGTATTGTTTCTTGAGAATAGCTGTATCTGACTGTCACCTTTTCCCCCCCATATAGTTACCAAGTATGGCTAATTTGAAATGTCAGGTTGAGAACCAATATTTATTCCAAACATCAGCAGTTTAGACCACTTAACAGTCTCTGCGACAATTCAAATATTTATGCATCCAAAAATCTCTTTTCAAATGCAGATGGCATATATTTGAACTATTTTTTAAGAAATAATTCTTTTTTTTATATTCCACTGAGATGCTTTCCTTCTTTTTTTAAGTTTTTAGATGGTGCTCTGATTATGTATTTTGAATTTATCATTTAAACTTTTTCCTTTTTCCAATTTTGGTATGGAAGTTTTGTGACTCACCTTAGTGTATTTTTGAAAAGGAATAGGTCAAAGAGAACTTCATGGTTAACGTTTCCTGATCTCTTTGGACTAGATGACATTGTTGGGAGATATGATGATCTGTCCAAGTCTGTTAATGAACGAAATGAAAAACTCCAGATAACCTTGACCCGCTCACTGAGTGTGCAGGATGGCCTGGATGAAATGCTGGACTGGATGGGAAGTGTGGAAAGTTCTCTGAAAGAACAAGGTCAAGTGCCCTTAAACTCTGCTGCTCTTCAGGATGTGATCAGTAAAAACATTGTAAGTGACATTTAAAAAGAAAAAAAAAACACTTTTAGATGAAAAAAAAATGTTTAAAAAGTCCCAAGAAGGGGTAGATTTAAGATCAATTTAAGGATATAGAAAAAGAGGTTTCCTGAGTATAACTGGACAGTATTGCTTGCACCAAAACACATGTGTCAGAACAGTTTTTCTGTGAAGAAGTATAGAGAGAGCTTTGTATACTTTTTCATGAATGTAATTCATTTCAGAGGGCTTACGCATACATGAGCCCTGTCGTGTGTATCACAGCTTCAGCCAGCTGCACATGAGGTTAATCAGATCAATCTTGTTGTTGTCTAGCCTTTTAAAAATGAGGACCATGGATAATCCCGGGGCTCCATTAGATCCCAGGGGCTGCTGAGTAGCAGCCGCCTCCTGCCTTGCTCAGGCAACTTGCCAGCTGTTCTCCAGTCTCTCTTGAAGAGATTTGGGATTGTGTTCCTCCAGGGACAGATCAGACTTGTCAGTCAGTTCCAACGTTAACTTGCCTCAGTCACAGGTGGTTCAAGCTCATGTTGTTATGAATAGTGATGTTTTTAACACTCTGTGATACTATTTGTAAACATCATTGTGAAACATACGCATTATTTTGTTCATTTCAGATGTTGGAACAGGATATTGCAGGTCGTCAGAGCAGTATAAATGCCATGAATGAAAAAGTGAAGAAATTTATGGAGACCTCAGACCCATCCACTGCATCCTCACTGCAGGCCAAGATGAAAGACTTGTCTGCTCGGTTTTCAGAAGCTAGTCATAAACACAAAGAAAAACTGGCCAAGATGGAGGAGCTCAAAACGAAAGTAGAACTCTTTGAGAACCTCTCAGAAAAGCTCCAAACGTTTTTAGAAACAAAAACTCAGGCTCTTACTGACACAGATGTGCCAGGGAAAGACATTAGTGAATTGTCTCAATATATGCAGGTGTGTCTTCCTTAATAATCACGAGGTTAATCAAGTATATTAACATTTAAGACCAGCTCATACATGTATTAGCGGAATTATAATTAACGATCATCATTAATGCTGATAGATTGCTGATAGATTAATTGCTGATAGATTGGTAAGGATCTGTGCTTCCCTCCTTTAAAAATCCCAAACCCCATCTTCTCCTTAACATGTTTTGCTCATTGATTAGAAATGAACACTATGTCTCACATACACAGTTTGCACATATTAAAGATCTTAAAAGTACCTTATATGCCAGAACCCACAAAGAGACAGAGTATAAAGAGTACGTTTTTAAATTAAATAAATTTACTGTGTTCTCTTTCAAACAGCCTACTTCATGTTTATTTCTATTTAGAGTACTGACTACAGGTGGGATCATTCTTCTGTGAAATTCTGAGGAGAGCCATTCTGGTTCCATACATACCTCTTGGTAGATAGAATGCCATCTGAAAATCTAGCAGTATCTTCTATTGATTAAATATCTAAATCCTTTGTAGGAATCAACTTCTGAATTCTTAGAACATAAGAAAGATCTTGAAGTTTTACACAGTCTTTTGAAGGAGATATCCAGCCATGGCTTGCCAGGTGATAAGGCTCTGGTTTTTGAAAAAACAAATAATTTGTCAAAGAAATTCAAGGAAATGGAGCATACCATCAAACAAAAGTAAGCACCCCTTAAGAAATTGGATTTTAGTCTACTTGACACTTAAAGAATGAATTATTTTTCTTTGCTTATGTCAATACCTGAAATAAAACTTGAGAATAAGCATAGGACTACTTTGTAAGTGCTTTTATATTGATAACATTTTTTTTTGCGATTAAAATTAAGTGCATTTTTGTTAAAATATTTAGGAAGGAAATTTGGTACTTTTTCCTAAAAGTACAGAGTATTATGAAGAAAAATAGTGGTGGTGGTGTTTTACTGAAAATAATCTAAAGTCACTATAGTCTCTGAAGCTTTTGGCGAATAGCACATTTTATTTGCAAAAGTAGAAATAACCTTGAAAGACAGCTCACGGCTCATTGCTTTTTGGGCTCAATTCAGAAGCTATGCGCAATTTTAAAATAATTCTTGATGGCCTTTTTTAAAACGTAAAATAGTTTACCTTTTAAAGAGTTGTAGAAAGAAATGATTCCGTAAATAAATAAGAAACGAGAAAATGAACCTAAGTTGAGCTAAAAAGCTGTGCTTTTTAGAAATAAACCTTGTGGCTAGACTTTTACATATTTCTGATCTCATGTTAGTTTGGAACATACATTTGGTTTTGCTAAAGAACCCACAAAGATGGAAAACACTTATCTTTTACCTATACTTAATTTCTTCAGGATCCTCTACCTAAAACTTTTGAGTGCTATTATCTATACTATTTCCAGAGCTACATTTTCCATCTTGTCACATAATATTTAATTCACATTGCACGGAAGTAATATTCTTTTTCCTAGGTCAACTCTAGGTTTTTTCTTCCTTCAGAATGGTCCAGTTTTAAGACCATGTAGTCATCAGTAATTAGTCCAGCTTCAGTGGACTCTTCTATGTTGCTATTCCACATACATGCACATGCGCACATGCCATCCATAGGTCATCATCCATGTACCAAATGGGACTGTCCTCACAGCTGTTCCTTGCTGGGCATGTGCCCTCCTTCCAAGGTGCTTAGTGTACAGAAAGATCCTAGAGTTCATTGGGGAGCGTTCTGAGGATCTGTGGGGGAGGTGGTCGTTAACATTCTTGTAACCACGTCTCACCTCATGTTTGGAGAGTTTGGAGAGAACTGTACTCTCTGAGGCACCTGGTTTATCCATCCACTAGAAGGACTGTAGTGTCGTATAGAAACCACTAGATGGCAGGATGTTTTCCTCATGTCAGTGATGTGTAAATGTTTCCCTGCCCGTTCTGTGCCTGCTGGCATTAAGCACCATATAAAGTGGACAGATCAAAGTTTGCTGAATCTAAATAATGTTAAAACTGTTTATATAGCCTTAGAGTTTATGTAGCATTATAGAGTGCCATTACCATATGGGTTACAGATTTCTTAACTGCTCCTATCTTTTTCTGTGGAGTGTGCCTGAGGAATAAAATAGTTATTTAGCTGATTTCACTTGGATCTATGACACCTTTCCTCTTCTTATCAAGGGTTAGAGAGTGCATAGGGGAATATTTTTTTCTTAATAGTAAGCTTGATACAATAATAATAATTTATTTATTAGTAATTATTTCTTTGGAGTATTTTCTGTCGGAGACTTAAATTCTTCAATAATTTTTGTTATCTAGAAAAGAAGCTGTATCTTCTTGTCAAGAACAGATGGATGCTTTCCAAGTCCTTGTTAAGTCATTGAAGTCATGGATAGAAGAAACAACAGAAAGAGTTCCTATTGTTCAGCCTTCTTTTGGTGCAGAGGATTTAGGAAAATCTTTGGAAGAAACTAAGGTAAATCATTATCTAATACTAATTCTTACTTGCCTGTGTGAGTCATGAGAGGTTAAAAGACTATTAGTGGTTTCCTTTTATCTAATATCATATTAAGTTAGATCCTCATTTATGTTCGGTATATTTTGGTGATACTTGGAAGTCATAACATAGCTCTGATCCTATTGAGGAAGAACACAAACTTTGACTTAATTTGATTTTTGAAAGATATTTATTAGTGGCTGCCTGTTCTAGTACCCAAGTTTACTTCCCCATCAAATCTCTGCTTAGCTTCAGTTTTTATACCATTTCTCATAACGTTATGTAAAAGACCCTGCTCTTCAACTCAGCAATTAACTCTAGCTCAGATACATCACTGTAACCAGTATTTGAATCCCTAGTACAAATAGTGTACAAGTCTTGTCAACTGATTCAAATCATAAAACTTATGACCAGTTACAGCAGTTATCCCAACTCCCAACTTTGTGGAGATGTATGTTTTTAAAAATTCATTGAAATTTTGATGATTAAAACTCACTATTAAATAGAATTCTGAATTCCCATTAAAAAAAAAATCATTTCTAGTACCTTTCTTCTTGTAATTTGGCCACTACTGAGTATAGTCTTCAGACTGGCAGTTGACAGTTACTTTGGAATCCATGGCAGCTAGAAATAGCCTGACTTCCACTGTGGCTAGGAGCAGAATGCAGGATGGACCATACCTCACTCCTCACCGCTAACAGTGTTAACAGTCACCTGGGCACAGTGTTAACAGTCATGTAGGGATGGTGCCTTTTTCTCTATCCGTGCCCCCATGAATCAGGACCCACAGTCATCATTGCTTTAAGATATGTTAAAGAAATTGAATTATAATGTGTAACTTTGAAACTATTATGAAGACTGGAAAATAATGTGTTTTCATATCTCAAGAAATTACAAGAGAAGTGGAGTTCAAAAACACCAGAGATTCAGAAAGTAAACAACAGTGGGATCTCACTATGTAACCTAATCAGTGCTGTCACTACCCCTGCAAAGGCAATAACAGCGGTCAAATCAGGTATGTGCTTTACTTACATCCGTGGAGAAACCCCTAAGAATTGGGTCTGACCCTGTTACTTTCATTTACCTTAGTTTTTAAATTGATGCATAAAGTAAACACAAAAGAAAAGTGACAAGAAAGATGGCATGTATATGCCTGCACTAAAAGTATGCTCCCCATATGGAGGAGTATCTGTAATGAGTCAAATTTCAGATCCCTCTTCTGTTCATTTTCTTAGAGGCTACAGTTGAAATGTAGCCAGATTGATACATAAGAATAGGAAGCTTTAGATTGGGGAAGAGGAAAGAGCAGATTCTAATTTGTTTTTTTTTACCGTAATTAATGGAGATGCTCAAATCCTCTTTGAAATATTTGATAAATGAGTCTGGTCTCCTGGGAAAGGAGAGGTGAAAGAAAGAAGCAGTTCTTTTGTGTAGGGTGAATCTCTCCTTTTTTAAAAAATTAAAGTCCCATCTAGGGGCTTCTGGGTGGCCCATTCGGTTAAGTGACCAACTCTTGGTTTTGGTTTAGGTCATGATCTCAGGGTTTGTGGGTTCAAGCCCCGTGTCTGCTCTGCACTGACGGCGGGGCCTGCTTGGGATTCTCGCTCTCCCTCTCTCTCTCTGCCCCCCCTCTGCTTGTGCTGTCTCTGTTTCTCTCAACAAGATAAATAATAAAATAAAAAAATAAAAAATTCCCATCTCCTTTAGCATCTACTTTATTTTGTACAGAAAACAACTATAGCATATCTAAATTGCAGTCATGACTGAGCCACTTAACACAAGGGGAGAGTCATGTATAAGTAATGATTCTACAGTCCATTTAAGTTGTGGATATGCTTTTAAGTTTAAAATTTTTTTTAATGTTTATTCATTTTTAAGAGACAGAGAGAGACAGAGCATCAGCGGGGAAGGGGCAGAGAGAGGGAGACACAGAATCTGAAGCAGGCTCCAGGCTCTGAGCTGTCAGCACAGAGTCCGACACGAGGCTCAAACTCACCAACTGTGAGATACGACCTGAGCTGAAGTCGGATGCTCAACCGACTGAGCCACCCAGGCGCCCCAATAGTTTAAAACATATTTATGTTGTTAAAATTGGTGTTTTTTTTTTTTTTTAAATACAAGAACAGATGGAAGCAAACCTTGTATCTTTATTCTGAGAATCTCTGAGTATCCTTTGTGGTTTATCTGTCCCTCCCAGCCCCCTAGCTGCCCCTCTTGTGAGACTGATGTTCCCGCTGGGCCTCTCTCAACCATTTATTCTGCTCTATTAACCCCATTTAAAGGCCCACTTATGTTATATATGGTGTGATGACCTCTCCTTTCTCTTCTAATCACATTTCCTGAAATGTCAAGTGTTTTGTTTGGCTTTGTTTTTAGAAAAGGAATTCTATTGTGTTTTTAGTTCTTCAGGTCCACCTTGTATTTGTAATAGGTACAAAAAAACAAAAGTTTTTTTCCTACTCTTGATAACTAACAAGCATGGTAGGAATCGTTTTTGAGCATCATCAGGATATGTTCACTTTCAACCAAAATGTCAATGTGTGATTTTTTTTTTAAAGAGACCAAACTTAGATTAATATTTAGATATGAAATATTATTGTTTTAATCTTGTTCTCATGTGTCTAGTGTTTTAGATAGGAAGCCAATGCAAACTCACATGAGAAAGTCTAATTCAGCATTTTAATACTCTGCTTATGAAAAAGGAACCAAGGCTAGATGTTTAGATAATTAGAGAGGAGTAATAATTACTACTTACTGAGTAGTTCCTATTTGCTAGGCAGTCAGTTAACTGTCTTGAATACCTACAGTGTTCTTGCATTTAAATTAGGTATTATTATCCCCACCCGTTTGGTTGGGGTGGTGATTAATTTGTCCAGTCACCCAGCTAGTAATTAGTGGGGCTGGGATTTAAATTCAGGTGACTCATACGCTGAAGCCCAGGCATTTCTAACCACTGTGCTCTTCTCTCTCTGTGCTGACATAATGTGGGTTTTAGTAATAGGGTTTGTGTGTTTGTTTTACTTTTAACTTTTCATGTCTTTGTATCTCATTCTGTTTCCATTAAACCCATAATAACACTGTGTAACTGTACCAGACAATTTTCAAATTTTTAAGTAAGGATTTTTCTGGCAGTCACTTATGCTGCATGCAACACACTTACATAGTGAGCAACTTTTGAGCTTCAAGGACATTATCACTAAAATTTAGCAATAAAGCAATTTTATCACAAAATTGTTTTATAATTAATACTTACTGATTACTATATTAATCTAAAGTTATTGACACTAGTATTTAAAGTGATCATGTTACCTTACCACTTTAAGAATGAATTTTATAGACAAGAAAGTTTCTTAAAATTTTCGACCTTTATTTGATTTAGAAATTGAATCAGTGGTCTACATTTTCAAATAGTAATAACATTTGTAAATGACTACTGTTTATGGGGTTTGAGTTAATGCAGTCTACTGTTAACGTGTAGAAATACTATTGAAATCTATGACTACTTCAGTGTTAATAATTTTGCAGGTGGAATAATAAATGGTGAAGGAGCAGCCACAGATACTCAAGAAATTTTGGCAAATAAAGGTGAATAGTAACTTTAAGTGCTTATTGATTACAGTAACTTTGTTTTTGTTTTTGTTTATTTTTTATTTTTTATTTTTTTTTAATGTTTATTTATTTTTGAGACAGAGTGAGACAGAGCATGAATGGGGGAGGGTCAGAGAGAGAGGGAGACACAGAATCCGAAACAGGCTCCAGGCTCTGAGCGGTCAGCACAGAGCCCGACGCGGGGGTTGAACTCACAGACCGCGAGATCATGACCTGAGCCGAAGTCGGACGCTTAACCGACTGAGCCACCCAGGCGCCCCTTATTTTTGTTTTTGAGAAAAAATCTTTAGAGATGAACAGTAGTTATATCGAAATTTCAACCTTGACTTAAAATAATTATTTATTATCATAGTCATTTGCCATAAGTATCATATTAATATAACATTCCATGCAATTTTGTTCATCTGAAGTTAGTGAAACCTGGTAGTTCAGTTTGGTATTTGGTTATGTTCCTTTTTTCTGGTTAAGTAATTTAAGATATTTTGTCACTTGGAATAACATTCTTTGAGCTATTTCCTTGAGTTTGATTTCTAAGAAATTAATATGTAGCATTTTATGGTTTTTGGTATTATGCAATGTACCTAAATTGTTATTAAATAGTATTATAATTCTAAAAAAATTTTTAGAAATATTAACCCTTTAGTTCTAAAAATTCTATGACTTTATCATGGTAGGCTTAATATAGAGAAAATACAAGGGAATAACATGTAAAGCAAACTTATTTCTAGAGTTCTAACTCTAAACCGTCTTGAAAATGTGTCCATCTGATTTTATTTTATTTTTTTACTTTTAGGGTTAACATCCATTAAAAAGGATATGACTGACATAAGCCATGGTTATGAAGATCTTGGCCTCTTACTTAAGGACAAAATATCTGAACTGAATAGCAAACTCTCCAAATTGCAAAAGGCTCAGGAAGAATCAAGTGCAATGATGCAGTGGCTACAGAAGATGAATAAAACTGCGACAAAATGGCATCAGGCACCTACACCTACAGATGCGGAAGCTGTGAAGACTCAAGTTGAGCAGAACAAGGTATATTCTGTGGATATATTTATTGAAGAGCTAAAAAAGAACAGACTAGCATTCAGATGGGACCCTCAGGACCCCTATTGTGATTTCTAGCTCTATAACCTTCAGCAAATAATTTGCCAGTTTTGTTTCATATGTTTTTCTGTAGAAAGTGATGATAATAGGAATCTGTTTTACACACAGACATTACAAAGATGAGTGAACTGTTTGGGGGTAACTTTGCCACCTTTCTTTGTTTTTTTTTTTAAGATTTTATTTTTAGGAGTGCCTGGGTGGCTCAGTCGGTTAAGTGTCTGACTTTGGTTGGCCCAGGTCATGATCTCACGGTTAGTGGGTTCGAGCCCCATGTCAGGCTCTGTGCTGACAGCTCATGGAGCCTGGAGCCTGCTTCAGATTCTGTGTCTCCTTCTTTCTCTGACCCTCCCCCACCCACACTCTGTCTCTCTGTCTTTCAAAAAATAAAACGTTAAAGATTTTATTGTTACGTAATCTCTACACCTAACATAGGACTTAAACCTACAACCTACAATGATCACGAGTCGTATGCTCTACTGACTAAGCCCACCAGATGCCCCAGCTTTGCCACCTTTAAATCATGTTAAGTCTGGGATTTTAACCAGTCAACTATTAGAAAAGATTTATGTAGGTGTAGAACCAGGTGTTCTGTCCAGCATAAAATAGGGTAGCTTATGCTTTCCCTTTCTTCAATAGATGGCATTTCTTTCTGCAACTGTCAAGATGGGGGAAATGACTTTTTGTGGCAATTATGGCAAAAATGTCTACAAATGTGATTACTATATCTGAATTCTATAATGTGTTATCCAGAAAAGCATTGACTCACTAGTAGATTCTCAAACCTGGCAGCTTTTATCCAGACTGATTTTCTTCTCAGTTGCAATATTGATGCCATCTTCCTTTTTCCCAAAGGGATTTGTTTGAGGATAATAAGAAATTATTCCTAGGTACTAGGGTGTAGAGTAATTTTCTCCACAGAAAGTGGAGTAATTTTCTCCACAGTAGTAGTGTTCCTCTTTGGGATTCCTTTATCAGATAGTTGAAGATTGGTTAAGAAGAGGAAAGGAGAATAATTATCTGCTGAATTCTGGTCCTCACTCATTTCAGCACCTAACAGTAGATATTTTCATCTGTTGTAATTGTGTTTTTGTCTTTTGATATTGACATACTTTAACACAGTTTTTTTCCTTTTGTTGTTAGTCATTTGAGGCAGAACTGAAGCAAAATGTAAACAAAGTGCAGGAGTTGAAAGACAAATTGACAGAGCTGTTGGAGGAGAACCCAGATACTCCTGAGGCCCCCAGATGGAAACAGATGTTGACAGAAATTGGTATGTTATGTTACTTAAACCAGAGTCCACCGATAGAAAGAAGCACAATTATTTTTTAATCACAGTCTTTATCAGAAAAAAAATTATCCAACAGCCTCGGTTTACTTTTGAATTTGCCTTAATGTTTCGTGTTTAAAATGTTGCATATTTAAAAATACCATTTCAAATTATATTGTACTGAGACTTGGCATATCTTGTATTTTTTTTGCTAAACACCATAAATAAGTTTAGTTTTATGAAGAGGGTAGATACTGGGAAATAAAATGCTGTGCACTGAGTAACATGTTTTCATTACTGGTTTTTACTTGATTTTTGGTGTTTCTATTTTTTTATACTTTATTATATTTTAAATATTCCTTACATGTGTATATGTGTGTGTGTGTATGTATTATGTACACACACACACACATATATATATGTATATACATACACATACATACATACATACATACATACATACACACACATATATTCCCTTTGGTCTGGAAAAGACAAACTCCCTTCTCCTTCATGAAGTTCCTTCTGGGACTCGTTTGACCCCTACTGTGTGTTCTTCTCTTCCCCCATCAGGGTTAAAAAGTAGCTCCCTACAGAAATCTAGTGATTTTCACTCTTTATGTAGAGTTATCCTCCCATCTCTATCCTGTCCCCATAGAAACGGTTTCTCCTAAACAAGGAACTTCCTTCCCAAGCTCTATTATCTTATCACCCCATTTCACTATTATAATGATAAGGAAAATGCACGTAAGACAATGGTACTAATTTTCCCTACTTCATAGTATTATTTGGAGAATTCAATGAATTAATGTGTGTACGGCTCAGACAAGCTGTACCTGGCACATAATAACTGCTGTGTGTTTACTATGATTATAATAAGAATTCTTTTACTTTCAATTGTTCCATTATGTTTAGCTAAATATTGTCCTTCCATTAGAGTCAGATATGCTATGATAAATTTAGAAATCTGTAAATATGTTTTAGTTTCAAAAGTTATTTTAAGGGATCTTAATGTTCAAAGCTATATTTAGTCCAACTATAGACTCCTATTGCATTATAATTAATTTGTCCCTAATTCAGTGGCTGTCACCTGGGGTATCAGAGTTACTTAGGACAGTATTATCAAGATATTTGAGAATAGGGGTGAGAGTAAGAAATGCATATTTCAAAAAATCTTCCCGATAAGATTTTGATATTTCTCCCTCCCAGTTCATTATTTGAATTGCATTATTTTGTTGTCAGATTATATTTGATTGGAACATGCCATATAGAATGATGCTATTAGGTGAGGTTTTCGGGACTGGGTTCTATTAAAAACAGCCATTTATTGTACTGTGCTAGATGAAAAAATCTGTCAGGTCAACTAATCATGCCCATCAGTAACTGTTTATTGAGTGACTAATGTGTTCAAATGCTGGTCAATAACTCTTGGCCTCAGAGAGCATACTGTGTGAGGGTGGGAACAGCTTGAAAGCCTTCCTGGCAGAGAAATCTAGTAGAATTGTGATGAAGGACAGAGCTGGGGTATACAGAGAGGAGATAGGGCTGTGTTAGGTATGGGGCTTATGTAAGCAGAAGCCTGTTTGGATGATAATGGTAGGATAAACAGGGCTAGGTTAGAGGTTTCATCTAAGACTGCATACCCTCTACTGTTAGTAGATTAGGGTCCGTTTGTGGGAGGCCTTGAATGTGAGGCAGAAGTCTTCCGATTTTATCATCTAGGTGGTGAGGAGTTAGTTATTGAAGGATACGAGCACAGAAATGACATATTTAAGTGATTTTTAAGGGAAATTATTTTAGAATCAAATTAGTTGCAACTGGGATACCCTAATTACAAGGAAACCAGTGGTAAGACTAGTCGTCTAGGACTATAGTTCTCAAAGGTGTGCTCCTGGGAGCAACAGCATCAGTGTCACCTGGGAACTTTCCAGAAATGCAGAATTTCAGCCCCCACTTCAGACCTCCTGAATTGTAAATTTTGGGGATGGGGCCGAGCAACCTGTATCCTTCCAGGTCATTCTAATGCAGCTGGGGTTTGAGAAACACTAGTCTAGGCACACCATGATGAGGACCAAAATGGAGTTAGGCACTAGGAATGTAAAGGATGGGTTTCAGGTTTTATGATCAAGGATATAGGAGTTTGGAGAGTCATGAAAGAACATTCTGAATTATTGTTTCTCAGTGACGTGGAAGAGAGAATAACCTTTCAAAGTAATCTAAAATCGGAAAAATCTGACAGTTTCAATAGGAATAAAAAGTGATTTTTTTATGTTAAGTGTGAAGGGTTGGTGAGATTTCCTAGTGTAACTTTCAAGCAGCTGGTTGTCAGTGGTGATTTAAATAAAATAGAATGGGCATGGATATACAAATGTGGGAGTCATTTGCCCAGAATTGATCATTGAAGATTTCCTATTAAAGGAAAGAATTAATGTTCATTGTTCTAGTAGGGCAGTTATTGTTGAATAAACAGACTGTATAGGACCTCTAGAAGAAACGAGGATTTCTGGATCCTGTTTGCTTTAAGGAATATTCCATATTATTCTACCTTATCTTCAAGGGTCAGATTCAAATTTATTTTTCATGTACTTCGGTTGATACCCAGCACCAGCATCATAAAATCTGTATCATTAAATGCCATTAACCCTTAGAGTCGGCTTTAATCGACTGTGTAAGAAGAGTTACAAAGATGTAATGATAGCCACCTATGTATCATTCTGAGTCCTATCCTGCAGTCTTCATACATGTAGTGATATTAATGTATGAAAACCAAACACCTCTTTTATTTTTTATCTTTTTCTTTTAGATTCTAAGTGGCAAGAACTCAATCAATTAACAGTTGATAGACAACAAAAACTGGAAGAATCCTCTAATAATCTAACCCAATTCCAGACTGTAGAGGCTCAGTTAAAACAGTGGCTTGTGGAGAAAGAACTGATGGTCAGTGTTCTTGGGCCCTTGTCAATTGACCCAAATATGCTAAACACACAAAGGCAGCAGGTGCAGGTGAGTGTTACATGACTTGACTTAATAAGACAAGTGTTTTCATTATAAATACATTAGCTGTGGACAGTATGTGCTTAAACTGCCTTGAAGTGTATTTGTCATGTTTCAGATGCCCATAAGATAACATCCTGAGGTTAGTGGGGAAACCCCCAGGGAACCAAAGCCAGGAGGCATCAGTCTCCTGAGCCCATGAGTGTGTCAAGTCCCTTGATCATTTGAGTCATATTGTGGTTTGTGCCGACCCTGTTAAAAAGGGCCTTCTTTGAAATATTAATGTGATTGTATAAGTAATTACATTTTTATGAGAAGCTGGTATATGCTTTTTATTGTTTAGAAATTGCTCCTTTGAGGTTTTATTCATTTTGATTGTGGTAAAAGATAATGAAACTTGTAAAACTCATGCAATACAGCCCTGAGGGGTGGAAAGACAGAATAAGAACAGGAGAAAGAGTAAGCAAAACAGAGAGGGAACCTTGAAACAGAGTGGGTTAGACCAGTCTAATTACAAAGTGGATAAATCCACAAGGAGAAAAAAAATACATGAAATTTAAGTCAGATAGAAAAAGCTCCATTGTGGTTCCAGTTAGATTTCCTCCTGTATATGGAGTGGTATTAGAGCAGTGCGGCTAATCCTATACTTTTGAAAACACAAATCAGTCTCGGTAGTTTAGAGTCAATATGTCCTAGTTCATATATGTTCTTACCCTGAAGATAGTGAAAACAAAAGATATAAATAAATATTTGGCAGAAACAATTGCCCCTAGTCTTGGTAGTCTCCCTAAGATAGATAAAATATTATACTACAATTTAGGGGGTGCCTGGGTGGCTCAGTTGCTTAAGTGTCTGACTCTTGTTTTTGGCTCAGGTCATGATATCACATTTTGTAGGATCAAACCCCACATCAGGCTCTGCGCTGATAGCACGCAGCCTGCTAGGTATTTTCTCTCTCTCTCTCTCTCTCTGCCCCTCCTCGCCCAGCCACCCCTCCCCACTGGCTCACACACATGCACGCACACTGTCTCAAAATAAATAAACATTTAGAAACTTAATATAAAAAGGAAATTTTTAGATCATTCATTTTATAACGAGAGTCAGTGTTGAGCCTGCACATTCTGAGCAACATGATTTATTGGCTAAAATTTTTATATAGAGTATAAATGTCAATAATCTTATATTTAAAAGAGCTTTTATAAATCAATGCACCATGAGTTAATGTATTCTAACATTGTTATCACTGGACATTTCCTTTGGTGTAAAATGCTATAGAGCATTTAAAATATCCTACCAAGAGACAACTACAAGTAGGAAAATACAAATTTGGTGTTTGTGTGATATGAACTTGTCCAATAGCAATGCTGGTCTTTGTATATGAAAATTTGTACATGGGTTTTTGTTCATTTTGCCCAGACTGCTATATTTACTCTCTTTTCCCCTTTGAGGGATATTATTTTAGACAAAATGTTATCTCTGTGAAGCACCACTGCTCTTTGGATTAATTTAAGATAATTGCACTGCCCTTGAAATAAAAGCTAGGAAAACAGGAACTAAAAAACAAAAGTAAAAACTAGATAAGTAAATACCATTTATGTCTGTTTAGAAACTCAAAGCTCTGTTTTCCATAATTATCCACTAACTTGTATGTTTATTTACCCTTGTTACCTCTTTGCCTTAGATCCTGCTGCAAGAATTTGATACTCGGAAGCCTCAATATGAGCAGCTAACTGCAGCTGGTCAGAGCATTTTGAGCAGACCTGGTGAACACCCCTCTTTCCATGGGATTGTGAAAGAGCAACTGGCAGCTGTGACCCAAAAGTGGGACAGCCTAACAGGACAATTGAGTGACAGATGTGACTGGATCGACCAAGCCATTATTAAGAGCACACAGTATCAAAGCCTGCTGAGAAGCCTTTCTGATAAACTGAGTGACTTGGATAATAAACTCATCACCAGTGCGGCCGTGAGCACGCACCCTGATGCCATGAACCAGCAGTTGGAAGCAGCCCAAAAAATGAAGCAGGAACTGGAGCAGGAAATGAAACAGATAAAGGTGGCCCAGGCCCTCTGTGAGGATTTGTCAGCACTGGTTAAAGAAGAGTACTTGAAAGCAGAACTGAGTAGGCAACTAGAAGGCATCATAAAGTCATTTAAGGATATTGAACAAAAAACAGGTTCGTCTTCTTTTAATACATATATTGCCTGGAAATAGAGATCAAGTATTGCCTGCTCTGTATTTCCAAGCTGTTGCCAGGAAGCTAGGACCCTAAAGAGAGTCTGCCCTCACTGAAATTGTAGATGGAGAAGGGGCCACTCACATGAGCACAGAGAGTCACTCTGTGTTCACGTGCAGATGCAGCATCGGGGAAATTCTGCACACAAAATTGGCAAAAATCCCTTGAACGAAGGCCCGTTGAAATTTCAGATATTTCAACCTGGTTTTTAAAAGATATAAATGTTTGGGGCACCTGGGTGGCTCAGTCAGTTCAACATCCGACTTCAGCTCAGATCATTATCTCACAGTTGGTGAGTTCAAGCCCCGCGTCGGGCTCTGTGCTGACAGCTCAGAGCCTGGAGCCTGCTTCGGATTCTGCATCTCCCTCTCTCTCTGCCCCCTGCTCTGCTCACACTCTGTCTCTGTCTCTCAAAAAGTGAATAAACATTAAAAAAAATAAAAAATAAATAAAATAAGGTAAAAGATCTAAACGTTTTTGTCTTGTGACAGTTTCACTGCATCAGAAAAACAGATGAATACAGTTATTAAAAAGGCTTTGTATCATTTTCTCATCTACAGTTACTTTGTTTCATTCTGCCGCAGACAGCTTTTCTAAAGAAATGTGTGAAAGAGAAGCAGTAGGTGTTTCTCTCTCACCTACTGTGGCCATAATTCTGTGACAGATGAGCCAGGATGTGTCAGAGGCAGTGGTAGTGAGTTACTGCACGTTAGAATGGCCTGCATTTGGCTGCTATCTTTGTACTGTTTGAAAGTAACACTGAGGGCCTTGCACCTAGTAAATACTCAGTTTATACTTTTTTAATTGATTGGATTTATTTATTGATCATAGCAGCCGTTTCAGATTTACTCCTTTATTTTGACAGGATGTTGGTAATGAATATTAGCTAGCGTGTTGGTGATTATTCCTGTTACGACCACTTTTATGTGACAGGCAGTAAGCTAAGAACTTTACATGTGCTGTCATTTAATCGCCACAATAGCTTCTATTGATTTTGCCAATTTACATTTGGGGAAATGAGGCTTGGAGGTTTAGTCATCTGTCCAGGGTCTTCCAGCATTTTGAGAGGCCAGGCTGGAACCCTAACCCCTGTAGTCCCCAGGTGCTCCGTAGTGCCCCTATGACAGGTACAAATCACGGAAATGGAAAAGTCAGATTTTACAGGAGGTGGATTATTTATCAGAATACCGTGAACTCTGAACAGTTATCACTTCCTCGTACTAGAATGGAGTTGGCTCCAGGATCTAGCCTTGACAGCCTCTGTTCTTCCTGTGGTGCTCCCCTCCTGCTCCTCCTCAGCCTCCATGTCGGACTTGAGCTCACTTGTAGTTCTTACAGTTAGTGCTAACAGGCTTTCCTTTTAGCCAGTTCTGTACGTTTACTTGGTGGTCTTTCTCTTGGCTTTTCGCAGACAGAATTACGTTTTGATGAAAAATAAACATGTCTGTGATTTCATTTTTAGAGAATCATGTTGAGCACCTTCAGTCAGCCTGTGCGAGCTCTCACCAATTTCAGCAAATGTCTCAAGACTTTCAGGCTTGGCTGGATACAAAGAAAGAAGAGCAAAACAAGTGTCCCCCCATATCAGCCAAACTCGATGTCTTGGAGTCCTTAATTAAAGATCAGAAAGACTTTAGTAATACTTTGTCTGCTCAGTCTAATATTTATGAAAAAACCATTGCAGAAGGTGAAAATCTCTTGTTAAAAACACAAGGGTCTGAGAAGGCAGCCTTACAATTACAACTTAACTCAATTAAAACCAACTGGGATGGATTTAATAAACAGGTGAAAGAGCGGGAAGACAGGGTAAAAGATTCACTGGAAAAAGCCCTCAAGTACAGAGAGCATGTAGAGACTCTCCGGCCATGGATAGACAAATGTCAAAATAACCTGGAGGAAATAAAATTTTGCTTGGATCCTGCTGAAACAGAGAATTCTGTTGCCAAGTTACAGTCTCTGCAGAAGGAAATGAACCAACACTTGGGGATGGTAGAACTGCTAAACAATGCAGCCAATAGCTTGCTCAGTGTCTGTGAGGTAGATAAAGAGGCTGTTACAGATGAGAATAAATCACTGATCCAGAAAGTAGACATGGTCACCGAGCAACTTCACAGTAAGAAGTTCTCTCTGGAGAACATGGCCCAGAAGTTTAAAGAATTTCAAGAAGTTTCCAAAGAAGCTAAAAGGCAGCTTCAGTGTGCAAAGGAGCAGCTAGATGTCTATGATTCCTTAGGACCCCAGGCCTACAGTAACAAATACCTGACTGTGTTGCAGACTCAGCAGAAGACCCTTCAGACCTTGAAACATCAGGTAGATTTGGTCAAAGGGCTTGCACAAGACCTTGTGGTAGAAGCTTCAGACTCAAAGGGAACCTCTGATGTTTTATTACAAGCAGAAACCTTAGCTCAAGAACATAGTGCATTGAGTCAACAGGTTGATGAAAGGTGTTCATTCTTAGAAACCAAGCTTCAGGGCATTGGGCATTTCCAGAATACCATCCGAGAAATGTTTTCTCAGTTTGCAGAGTTCGATGATGAACTAGATAGTATGGCCCCAGTGGGGAGAGATGTAGAAACATTGCAAAAGCAAAAGGAGGATATCAAAGCCTTTCTGAAGAAACTAGAAGCCCTCATAGCAAGCAACGACAATGCTAATAAAACCTGCAAGAGGATGCTGGCCATGGAAGAAACCTCTCCTGATCTTGTTGGAATCAAAAGGGACTTGGAAGCTTTAAGCAAACAATGCAACAAGTTACTGGACCGAGCACAAGCCCGAGAAGAGCAAGTTGAAGGGACGGTTGAGCGTCTTGAAGAATTCTACAGCAAACTGAAGGAATTCTCTACTCTGCTTCAGAAGGCTGAAGAACATGAAGAGTCTCAAGGCCCTGTTGGTATGGAAACAGAGACCATTAACCAACAGCTTAATGTGTTCAAGGTAGGGAATTCTTCATTTTTATATTTAAAAAAATTTTTAATTTTCACTTTTAAAGAGAATTTTTATTTCATATCTTTATTTTTTATTTTTATTAGAAAAATTTTTATTATTTTTCGTTATTAAAATAAATTTATAATTGGTATCTGAAGGAGATTGCCTATTTTGTAGAACCTTCTAATATGGCTGTCATGTAGCGAGCGTTTGAGCCTGAAGGAGCATGTTATGGGGGTAACATCCAGGCATGTGGGGACTTGCAAGCTTACTAGGGATTTGGGCCCTCATGGAATAAAACCTGAGATAATATCAAGAGGTCAAAGGGTACTTGAAAAGTTTTAGGCAAGCCTAAAACTAACATTTTAGAGTCTGCGTCTGATGTCATTTACAACTGACATCTGGTGAGCAAAGCCATGTTTTGAACTCTGCTGCAGAGGCCAGCGTATAACACAAAAAGCTTGTTCTCTTCATGTTTGTCTCCCAGCATTTTGTTTAGATGGTGAATTATAGTCTGTTCCTGCTCTTTCCCTTTTTATAGTCTTCTTATCCTTCTTAATTTAATTTCTTTTGTAAACTTTTTCTTCCAGAAGTTCATATTTGTAAAAGCAGAGTGGAGTTCCATGTTGTAATCCTGGTTTTATAAAACAAAGATCTTGGGCTCACACTCCAGAGGATTAGGAAAAAAATTATTTTTGATTGGACTGAAAGCTCCTCCGTGCCGAGAAACGTCTGCCACTTGATGGCACTGAGTGATGCTTAATAAATGGAACATTAGATAAAAATGGTGGGCAGCATTCAGTGTCACTGGTTTTGACCTCATTTATGACAGTATGAGTGAGAGTTGCATCTCCACAGTGGACAAAGACAGGTTCAACCCTGCACTGAGGAGGTCCTAAGTATTGGGAATGCATGGGACCTATATTAGTCTTTGGGGTTGGCGTGGGTCTTGTTCTATTCATGAGGTATGTTTTGCTTTGCAGTAAAGACCAGTATGACAGTAAGTCCCACCACTAGCACATAAAGGATAAAACAAGGCCAAATGAAAATAGAGCTTGCAAAACTATAAATTATTTCCCATGAGAAATGAATATGAATCAGATGGACTATCATATTCTACATTGTTATACTTGGCATAGTGTTTCCTTTGCTCATCTTTAATAACGCTATTTAGGTGACTGACTTTTGAAAAATAACTTCTTATTACTATTATGGTCATTTGGTATTTATAAAATGTGTTTAAGGCCTGGTTCCTTCAGGGCTTAAAAATCTGTGATTCTGTATAGATCTTGATTTCTGAAGGTGAAGGAAGTGTTAACCTTAAAAAATAAAACTGGCAGGTACTTTACCATCAAAAGATAGACTTACTTGAGAATAGCAGAGAATTGCGATGGGGGACAAGCATGCCGGGGCAAAACCATAGGCAAGTCTGGAGAACAAAGGAGAGGAACATTGTTTTATGGAGGAAGGCTAGAAGTAGAGAAGGCTGTTGTCAACAAAAAGTCTATTGGAGTAAACTGGGGTTTGAAAGTGTAGCGGCTTCTCACTGGCTGACTTGTTCTGTCTCTCCTTGGCTGGACTGTTGTGGGGATCGGGGTGGAGGGGTAAGTCCTTCCTTCTGCCTGCCCTGCGGTAGAGTAGTATCCACCTGCAAGGTCTGATTCTTCCTGTGGGATTTGCAATTGAGGACTGAGTGGTAGGGCATGAGAGCTCCCCCTGCTGAACTTCCCATTTTAGTGAGGTTTCCCTTAATTAATTTTCACAAAAGCTACCTTACAGTTGATTTGACTTCCCTAATTACTCTGTCAAACTTTCCTATTTCTGCTTTGCAAAATAGAGATTTCCTATGAGAGAATTCACTCTCGGAAAAACAACGTTCTGGGGCACCTGGGCAGCTCAGTCGGCTAAGCGCCCGACTCTTGATTTCTGCTTAGGTCACGATCTCAGGGTTCACGGGATTGAGCCCCATGTTGGGCTCTGCACTGACAGTATGGAGCCTGCTTGGGATTCTCTGTCTCCTTCTCCTACTGCCCTTCCCCTGCTTGTGCTGTATTTCTCGCCCTCTCCCTCGCCCTCGCCCTCGCCCTCGCCCTCGCCCTCGCCCTCGCCCTCTCCCTCAAAATAAATAAATAAATAAACTTTAAAAAAATAATAAAAAATAAAATGTTCTGTGGCCATTGCTGCGTCACAGGTCTGGGGGAGAGCTTGATAAGTGAGTCCCTGGAGTTTTCTATAGAACCCTGACAAAATCTGAATGCTTAAATGACAGTAATCAAGTAGTCTTCTTCCTAATGAAATTGAAGCATGTTCAGTGCTTTTGTGAAACCTATCATTTCTCTGGATTTTTCTGTGAATTTGTGTAGGAAAAAGGCCTTCATTTCTCTTTACAACTTCAACTACTTGTAAGAAAATGGGCAAAAGTAATAATATTGGTGCCGCTGCTTGTCGATACCTCCTTCTTTGTGTTCCCAAGCATGAATACAGTGAAAAAAAATGGGCTCTCCATGCAGAGAATTCTTTTGAAAGTAAGAAAAAGCAAGGTAGGACGAGCACTCTCACCACTGCATGGAAAGTGTTTTGCAAACTGAAAAGCACTAAAGCATCATTACCATTAACGTTACAGAGATTGTTCTGTTTGATTGTGAAGAGAAATAAAGTGGTCACTTCTTCTAAAATAAACCACTTAGCATGCTGTGTTGTCTCTTTTCTGATTACTTTGGAAGCAGTTGATTGATTTTAATGAAATTTAGTAATAAAGAACATCTTGACATAACTTCAGTGTCTTGAGACCTAGGGACTCAAAAAGAAGCTTCCAAGTGGACAAATCACCTGCATTTAATATATTTCAGCAACAGAGGGGAAAAAATAACAAGAATGTTCTTGTGGTAAATAAAGATGGTGGCATACAGTCACTAATTCTGTTTATTTGTACATGTATGTTTTTTAAAAAGCAGTTACAAGCAGTTAACATTTACGGAGGGTTTAGTATGTGTTAAACGTTATTCTAAATCCTGTCTTTAGTTCTGTTAACAGTCCTGAAACATGGATGCTATCATTGTGATCCCCATCTTGCGTAAGGAAGCTGAGAGCCAGGGGTTAGGTGACCTGCCCAAGGTCACACAGGTAGTAAGTATCACAGCTTGGATGTTTTGGTGGAAATAGTGCAGAACACTGTGTCAGTTTGACTCATCGTGATGCACATCTGATACTTTCTCTGGGAAATTTTGAGTCATCTCTTCTGTAGCCTAATTTGGGTGAGCTAAGTAACCATTGTCCATTTCGAACCAAAAACACCAGGAATACTTACTTGATGAAAGTGTTTTATAAAACCGGCTGTGGTGAGAAACATGAAGTAAATGTGTGTGAACCTGGCTTAGAACCTGATGCGTGGATGCTGTAATGACGTCATCAATGATGCAGTGATGACGGTGACCACCACCGCTGTGGTGGAAACAGAACCAGACAGTTCATGGTCTTCCTGATGGTGTCTCTCTTGATTAAGTTGGCCAATTAATCTGTGTACAATTCAGATTCTAATTTAGTTTTCCTTGGACAGTTAGGCTTTGGTTGAACATTAGTTTTGACATACTATTTTAGGAAAATTAAAACAAGTAGAATAATCTGTATCAAGTGAAAAACTAATAGTTTGCTAAAAATAACTATTAGTTTTTATGATTTCTAAAAATAGAAGAGAACTGAAGTACTGGGTCTATTTTTATTATAGACTTTGAAATGTAATTTAGTTTGACATTACTCTATCTGGTAGCTTTAGTTGAACCCAATCATAGATAAAATCTTATAACAATTTTCCATAATAGCAAGTTTGGAATATGACTGAAACTTAGTAGCTATCACCCAGTTACTCAGTAGGAGGTGTCTTCTATTCACTGGGAGGGTAATGGATTATTTAAACTAGATAAGGCAGACCTCTCTGCTTCCATTTTTTTTTTCCTAAAAATTATCCTAAGAAATAGCAGCTAATATCCTTGAAAGTTCAAAATTAATTCATGTTTAAGATACCAACCCAAACATAATAATTAAAAACAAATGCTATTCTCAACCAAATGTCCTAATTCACTGTCAGTGAAAGCTATTCCAAGTCTTTGAAAATATTACCTTTTGTGTTAGCTTGAAGTCTTTAAACTATTTTGATTGTGTGAGTTCTGTTTACCATATGTTTTCTGACTTCTAAATATTAGTCTTTGGACTAAAATGTATGCAGTGTGAGGTGTTTTCTATTACTGTTGATAACTAAAGTGTCATTTTTCTACTTATACTTCTCTATATTACATTAAATTCTATGCACACTGTCATCGATTCCTAGGCAGAAAGGGAAAAATTCCCTTTGGTGTTCCCCCATCCCTACCTCCTGGTAAAGATTACTAGCCTAAGATTATCTTCAAGTCTAAATGACGTTATTAAGTAATATTAATATTTCCACATTTTTATTTATCAAAGACACATGTAACCTACTCGCATACAAGGAACATGTCCCAGCAGTTCCTGTGATGTCATCAACAGCCAGTCAGATGTTCTGATCATCATGAAGTAATCACTATCACTGTATTGAATTGATTTAATTTCAGTGAAGATCAAAGAAACTTGATGTTTCAATAAGCATATACACCCTTCACACCTCTATCTAGGCCATGGTAAAATGTTTTACCTCAGAACCTGTTTACTGTTTATTCTGGCCACTCTGTTGCTGCCCCAAATTGTCATTCAGTTTGTCCCCACAAATGAACATATCACCAGTACAAAGCTTTCTAACCCAATTTCTTTTTATTTTCAAAATTGAAATAGTACTACATAGAGCAAAGAATTTTTTTAATGTTTATTTTAAAGAGAGAGAGAGACTCTGCACATGCACTAGTCAGGGAGGGAAAGGGGGGGAGACAGAGGTTCCAAAGAGGATCCTATGCTGACAGCAGCGGGCCCTATGTGGGGCTCAAACCCATGAACTGTGAGATCATGACTTGAGCCCAAGTTGGATGCTTAACCGACCGAGC